ATTTAAATATTAAAAAAATTAGTAAAAATCTTCGCAGGCAAATTTGCCTGTGTTACAATTTAAGGGATATATTTCTAAAATATCTGCAAAGTTTATAAAACATATCTATAAAATATCTGAAGATTTATGTAATATATCTTACTAATATAGTTTCGTAGATATTTATATATTTTGTCTTTGAAACTAATTTACACTTTATGATATTTATATATATCTCTAAATTTCTAATTTCTACTCAATTTATGTAAAATATATGCTTGTTGATAGCAGCATTAATATTATCAAATTATTAATTTTATTATTTTACATAAAGCAATATTACAAAAAAAATGCATTTTTACATTATTGTTTTATTAACCTTCCTCATCAATATTATTACTGTCATTAGCATTATCTTCCTTATTTATTTGCTCACGGAGACATCCAAATTTATTACTTTTAATATTATTGTTGCTTTGACATTTGGATGTATTTCTGAGAAAGGTTTTATACTTGACTTTAGAAGTATCAGAGCTCTTTAAAGTTGAACTTAAGCAATTTTTGGATTTAGAGGCCTGGGATAAAGATTTATTTGGAGTGGACTCTGCAGTATTTGATTAAATATTTTTAGAGTTAGTAACTTGAGAAGAATGAGTAGGATTTGCATTGTTTGATTTGGATCTAAAGTAGTATTTAATCATTTAGTAAATCTAAAATACATTATTAATAAATACATAAATGTATAAATATATACTTTTGTTTAGTTGGTTCAGTTGGTTCAGTTGGTTTAGTTGGTTCAGTCGGATTGGTTAGTTCAGTCTGTTCAGTCAGATCAGTTAGTTTGGTTGGTTTAGTTCATTCAGTTGGTTCAGTTCATTTGGATTATTCAGTTGGTTCAGTTCGTACAGATCATTCTGGTTATTCAGTTGGATCAGTTCACTCAGTTTTGTTTGTATATTCAGAATTGTCGGGTTCAAGATCATTGGATTCTAAATCAGAGTCATCAGATAATTCTAAGAAATTATTATTACTATTATTATTATTATTATTATAAGTTGATGAAATTGTCCAAAAAGGTATGTCAAGTAGAGGCCTTGTTTTATTTTTTCAGTTATGATTATAATGTTGTTCTCTCACAGTTTATTTGATTGGTTAATTAATACAACTTCTTTGGCCTGATAGAAGATTTGTTGACACTATTTGATATAAAAATTAGAATTAACAGATATGATTTTTATTAAAAAAAAAAAATAATTTATCCATTAAATTACCCTTTCAGATCACCATGTCAGAACATATACTTTAATGACATAGTTCTTATTTCTTCATCTATTATCATTATCAACTTCAGTATATGAACTTTTTTTGTTTTTTACCTTATTTGTGAGTTCGATATTTGTTTTGGATAGTTTATCCAAATGATATGCGGTTTCAACAACCACTTCGGCAAGATCATTCTTCCATTCTTTTTGCTTAAAAGAACTTGGTCTGTACTTTTTAATAATTGGGTCTTTAATATGAATTAGGTGCTGTAATCTGTCTATTCTCTTTTTTTTTTCTAAAAAAAATGAATGCAATGTAAATCTGATATGCATATATAAAATATATTTTTTATGCAATAAAAAAAAAAACTTACTTCTTGCATATGTGAATTCTTTCCAACATGCTTTTTGTTCGACTTCAATTTGGTTTTATCAGATTTGATTTTTGCAGTTGATGAAAGACTTTAGTAGTTACTTTGTAGCACTTGAATAACTTCACTGTCTAAAAATTTGAGGCTTTTGTTGATATGTTTCTTAAGAGCAGGTAAGATTGTAACCTCTACAAATTCCTTTTGATTGAGCCAATTTTTATTATGATCTATAGACAAACAAAGATTATCGTGCATTATTTGTTTTGCAACCCTAATTACTTTTTTCTATAATTATAAAAAAAAACATAATACAAAAATCTAATATTTATATCGATAGATTAGTATAACAATAAGTATTATATACAACATAAAAAAAACTTAATTAACAAAATCTGATATTCATATCAATAGATTAGTATAACGAACTCTTTCCGACAATCATCTGGACCATATTTTTCTGAAAAACTTTTTGACTAAAAAACAGTAACGTACTGCAAGAAAAATGTAAGAC